TCCCAATTCTTGCAACAGTCACATATTCGAAGATCTTATGGGTTTTAAGGTGTATGAGTCCCCTTAAGTACACTTGCTGGAGTGCAAGTTTTTTTTAATGAATTGATATTGTGAGAGTTACCTGTTGTTTAGCCTCACTTTTCTACGCGATTTGAAATTATCGTCGTTTGATTTTGAAGAACTCGTAATATATTATGCATTGAAATATTTGTGAAAAAATAATAAAACAAACCTAGATTTTCGAAATGGTGATAATGGTGACGGTTCATGGTGATAAATCCAGGGCAATCTATTAGGACTAAAAATATTAAAAAGAAATGAAAAATTGTTTACAGAAAATGTAATGAAAGCTATTTATCATTTGGGTTTATTTGGAATGGTGATGAAATGGACCCTCAACTTCAATGTGTTGTTTGCGATGAACCAATCAAAGTATGAAACCATCGTTTCTTAAAAGACATCTGTTCACACATTTTTTAGACGACGTATATTGTATTCACAAAACTAAATTACATAAAATTCTTGAGTTTTAAATGTTCTATTTGACATCCCTTATTCTGAACTATCTTTCGACACCGCAATTTCCAGGATAATAATGCCTTTTGAAGTGGCAGAAAAGATATTTTATCGCATTCCTCCCGAACAGCTTTCCAGAGTCCTGTTAAGGTTTTGGGACAACGTTTGGATAATGCACTTTTTCAAAGTCCGAAAGAACAAAACTCCATAGGTGACACATCGGGAGATTTAGTAGGGATATCAGGAAGGGTATGGCCTGGATACCAGTTTTTTGTTCCATTTCTTTTAGGAAATTTACAGTGGATTTTGATGTGTGACTGTTAGCTTTGTCCTTACGGAGTGTCACAGATGGATGGCACTGTGGGTAAAGCGATGGTATTTCATTCAGAAAAATTTGCGATAAAATATGTTTCGGATAGTATTTGGAGTTAATCTTGACATTTTTTTGCACTCGCTTTATTTTTAACTTGCCATTATAAGAAAAACCAGCAACAATCATGAATCCCTTAGAAAAACTTTCTTTCGATTCTTTGAACCATGTACTTAAAATTTTTCTCCCCTTTTATGATAATAAATGGCTTTTTTTTTTGGTACAGTCATGTAAATACACCCATGCTTCATCTATTATGACAATTGCTTTCCATTTTCCTTTGGATAAGTGTTTCTCATATAGAATTCTGCAGCGTGTCCTGCTTTGAGTGATATGCTTTGGAAGAAGACGATGCACATTGCGTATTTTCGCTTTCTTAAGATTTAAATCAACGTTTATCATTTTGTTTACAGTGGACACCGAGCATTTTAATGATTTTGCAACTGTCCTTTGACTAGGGGGATTTTCTTTTAACATTAAACAGCGTACCTTTGCAATAGTCGAAGATGTCCTTTTTTTCCTTGGATACTTGTTTGGAATTTTGTCCCACTTGAGGCTCCAATTTGACGTTTGTTTTTTTCCTTTCTTGTTGATGATATTACCTATGGACGCTTTAGATATTACAAAACCATGACTCCCACATCGTTTTTCGTTTTTGGATAAGGAGTATGCATATTTCTCTTCGGAAAGAGCGTAAATGTAGCCTTCGAACCACTGCTTTGTTAAATTCGCCGTTTTGAATAAAAACAAAACTTTCAAGCCACAGACGATAATTTTGACTTTTAAAAATATAGTACAATTGCAATTACTTCTTTTGCAGAAAACGATTTTTTATTACCGCTTACCAAAATCGTCTAAAAAATGTGCGAACAGCCTCTGTATAAGCATGCCAATTTAAAGGATAAATATGAAGAATATTTTAAAAGAAAATTATCGGAGTTCAAAAACAGTACACATGTAATGAAATTTTTGTTACTTCAACTGTAAAAGCTTTGGAAGTTTGCTACCTAATAAGGTAGCAAACTTCCAAAGCTTTAACATTATTCAACGAAAGCGCAGCTAATTGAACTTGACAATATCCCGTTATCAAATGATACAGTTCCATTTACCGTAACTACGTCCTACCGAAATTATATTATTCTCATATTTTGGAACTTTGTGGCTATACTGGCTTTCAGCAGGGAAAACTTATTCTGCTCTTGCCACTTCCTGATGTAATCCCAAGGCCTGACAGTGAAAACCCCTGAATCACCTCTAGATGTTTAGGCGATAAAATTAGTAAAAATTTGGGTTTAAGGATGCTAGCAAATACATTATGTAATGCAAAATGTTTAATTTTTAAAACATTTTACACATTCTCAATCAAATAAATACCTCTTTCTATGTTCCCCAAACTAATGCATGGCCTGTCATTCCTTGATTGATTGCACCCATAAGTTCTAGAACAGGGGTTCTCGTTCTTTTTTGTCGCATGCACCCCTTTCATTATTGCTAGAAGATCATTTCACCCTTTCCAAAACTCAAATATATATATAGATAGAGAGAGAGAGAGATTAAGATGACTTTTCAACGTGCTTTATAAATTTATAAGGTATTTCTCCCGCCTTCTTAGCATGCCTTCGTAGTGTGGTTGTCTGTAAGCTGGGCGCGTATTCCAGAGGTCATGGTTCGATTCCCGGCGAAGGCGTTGTTGAATTTTCACAACCCCTGCCTACAAAGAATACCTAATGTCTATTCAAATTAAACAACAATGAATGAATAAAATGTTGATAAGTATTAAGACATGAACAAAAGTAGTTTTTTGTATTCATAAACACTTAAGGGACAAACACATGTCTGACCGCGTTCCCCCCCCCACTCCGAAACTATGAAATCCCCCCAAAGGGGGAAGAAACTCTGTTCCAAAAGGTAGCTGCTTGATGAAATGAAACCTGACCAAGGAGACGAATTAAATTAAGAGAACGACTATAATTAGAATAATACTACGAGACGAGAAACGAGAAGATAACGGATACCATAAGGATAAGAGAAAGACGATACTAGGACGACTAGACTTCGAGACGACTATACGAGAGACTATATACGACGAGACTATACGATAGACTACGAGGACTATACTATATACTAGACTATAATACTAGAGACTATTCTATACTACTATAGACTATAGACTATAACTATATACTACTACTACTATATACTATATACTACTATACTATAATTATACTATAGCCAGTCTCGAGCGTTGGATAAAAAATGTTTTTTCCGAACAGTGTTGCACCTGCTCGCTTTGAAACTGTTGAGTTTTTCAATCAAAAATTCGTTAAAATTTTACAAAATATGATAACAAAACAAATTCAAAATTCGAGCTTTCGAGTGCCCATGTTAGGATGGAAGACTACGTTATACAAAATTCGGTGGCTCTAGGTAGCGTTGTTTTTTCACAGTGCGAGAAATCTACATATATTTAGGTAGGTTCTTCAGTATTTAATTTCTTTAAATATAATACAGAACGCTGCTACTTATTGACAATAATCTGAAATGTTATAAAATGCATTTAAGTGTTTTCACCAAAATGCCGTTTGGAGATTAATACTATTAATGTCCCTTTTGAGCTAAAAGATAAAAAAGAGAGAGATTAGGATGAAAAATTTTCTTTCTCTAAAAGACAAATAAACTGTATAACCCAAATCCACTCACTACTTCCTCTATCCCTAAAGAGTGAAACTTCCAAAATTTCCATCACTTAATCTGATTATCAGCCTCGAGCTAAAAGTGTTTTCCATTACGGGTGGAATGGGGATTCTAACATCCTAAACGTGGGTAATTTTAAGAGTCGGTAATTTTTTTGATAAAATTTCCAGAATGCAAAATATACAAAAAATACAAAAACGTTTCTGCCGAAGGTTTCCATATAACTCGTTATATCCAATTTTCATACCCTTTGCAGTTAGTTATAGCAGTATAAAATAGCATTAAGTATATTTGAAATTGGACGAGACCCAAAGCCTTGTTTAATATATCTGGGGTGGGGGGGTCTTTATAAGCCAGATTAGTTATAGCGAGAGTGCATGGTAGTTAGAATAGTTTAAAATAAGATTGTTTAGGAAACTAGACAGGACCCAAAGGTTTGTTCTTTATATCCAGGCTTCATTATAAGCCAGATTTGTTATAGTGGGATTCGATTGTATGGTAGTTCGAGCAGTTAAAATAACATTGAATGTAGTAAAGTGAACGGTACCCAAAAGTATGTTCGTTATATCCGGGGTTTTGTTATAACCGGATCTGCTACAGTGGGTTTCAGTTTTATGGTAGCTAGAGCAATTTAAAATGACATTAAGTGTAGTAAACTGAACGGTACGGAAAAGTTTGTTCGTTATATTCGGGGTTTCGTTATAACCGGATCTGTTACAGTGGGTTTAAGTTTGATGGTAGCTAAAGTAATTTAAAATAACATTAAGTGTATAGGAAATTGGAACGGGCCAGAGTTTTGTTTAGTATGTCTGGGGTGGTTCGTTATAAGCCGAATTCGTTATAGCGGGATTCAATTGTATGGTAGTTAGAGCAGTTTAAGATAACATAAAGTGTATAGGAAAGTGCACGGCATAAAAAGATTTGTTCCTTATATCCGGAGGTTCGTTATAAGCCGGGTTGGTTATTATGCTATTCGATTTTATGGTAGTTAGAGCAGTTTAAAATAACAGTAATTATATGGGCAACTGAACGGAAACAAAAGTTTCTTTGTTATACCCGAGGGTTCGTTATAGGCCGGATTTGTTATATCGGGATTCGATTGCATAGCAGTGTTCAACACGCGTTCACCCAAAAGGACTTATAAAGCTCTTTTCTGTTTGTTCCAGGCTGTTTTCAGGCCTGAATTTAAAGAATTCAGGCCCCTACCAAACTGTTTTACCAACCGCTTACAGGTAACGGAACAACTCTGAACCCTACTAATAAAATGTAAACTATCTAATCAGAAATTACGTGGTGCATTTTTAAATTGAATCCTTTATTTCATTGCATTACCAAAGCTTATTTGATAAACAGTGTATGCATTATTTTTCTTTATATACTTTGGCCTATTTAATAATAGGATTTTTTCCTTTCCTTTCAGGGAAAATATGACCAACTGGGAAAAATTCCACCTCCAGATCAGCAAATACTACCTCTATCCTGAAGATGCTACGGTTGTGAATGCAATGTTGACGGACATTGTCAAACAAAGAATAACCTCAGTCGGTATGTTAAGTTAATTTATTTTTGATTTAAAATAAATATTTGTTTCGATATTAAGCTGAAATAATTTGAATTCATTAACATTTAAACTGATATTTATATAATTTCTTTATTATTCATTTCGATGTGCATCTCAATTTCGGCGTATCTTATTTTATCTTGGTCTTTTTTTTTCGATAATGCTGTAAGTCTTTTAATTGCTTTAGTAAATTCTTATACGTGGGAAACCGGAATCAGAGTATAATTTTAATCAGGAACAATCAGACTATAATTACTTTTAAATGTACAACGGGAATCAGAATATAATTTTAACCAGAAACGATTAAAATGTAATTACTTTTAGTGATAAACGGAATTCGGGATATAATTTTAAAAAGAAAAAAATCAAACTATAATTAATTTTAAAAATAAATGAAAATCAGAATATAATTTTAATCAGGAGCAATCACATTTTAATTACTTTTGAACATCAGAATCAAATCAGTATAATATTCTGATTCTTCTAATAAAATCAGGAACAACCAGATTATAAATATTTTTTAATGTAAACAGAAATCAGAATATAATTTTAATCAGAAATGATCAAACTATAATAACTTTTAAAGATAAACAGAAATCAGAATATAATTTTAATCAGCAACAAACAAATTATAATTACTTTTAAACGTCTACAAGAAACAGAATATTATTTTAATCAGAAACAATCAGTCTATAATTACTTTTAAAGCTAAATGAGAATTGGTATATCATTTTACTGAGAATCAGACTATAATTACTTTTCAAGACAAACTCAAATCAAAATATAGTTTTAATTAGAAACAATCAGACTATAATTGCTTTTAAAGGTAAACAAAAATCAGAATATAATTTTAATCATAACCAATCAGAATATAATTACTTTTACACATAAACAGGAATCAAAATATACTTTTAATCAGAAACAATCAGATTATAATCCCTTTTAAATGTAAACAGAAATCAGAATAAACGTTTAATCAGAAACGATCCAGCTGTAATTACTTTCAAAGATAAACGAAAATCAGAATATAATTTTAATCAGAAACAACCAGATTATAACTTTTACAGATAAATGGGAATCAGCATATAATTTTAATCAGAATCAGATTATAATTACTTTTCTATACAAACAGAAATAAAATTATAATTTTAATCAGGGAAAAAAACAGATTATAATTACTTATAAAGATAAACGAAAATCAGAATAGGAATTTAATCAGAAACAGTCAGATTAACAACAAAATTAATTTTAAACAAAAACGAAAATCAGAATATAAGTTGAATCAGAAACAGTCAGGCTATTACTGCTAGCTAAACAGTCAGGCTATTACATGGGAATTAGAACATTATTTTAATCATAAACTATCCGATTATAATTGCTTTTAGAGATAAACTGAAATCATTATGTAGTTTTAATCAGAAACAATCAGACTTTAATTGCATTGTACAGACATTAGGTTATTTGGAAGCAGGAGTCATGAAAAATAGGCAATGCCCTCGCCGGGATTCGAACCACGGACTTCTCGAATACACGCCGAGCGTGCTGACCACTACACTCCGAAGGCATGCTAAGAAGGCGGGAGAAAGACCTGATAACTTTTAAAGATAAACTTCAGGAGCCATGATAATTTGCTTCCTGAAGGAACTTCCATCAACCTTATAAATAAATAACTGGGACACCTCATTAGTAAAGAAGTAATTATTAGTAAAAAATTAATATGTCTTTACGTTCCCCCCAGATGCTTATTCGGCTACAACATAGAAAGAAGGCGACAAACGAAACTTTCTGAGTTAAAGACGCAAAATGTTACTTTCTTTATTAGTTTCATTTGCTGTTTGAGGAATTAGAACTCTAAAGATTGTGAAGATTTCAACGCAGAAATGTATCCGAAATGAAATTAAATGGATACAAAACTATCTACGTATGCGCATAGGAACAAGGATTAGTAAAATGTTAAATTTATAGCACTTTTTCAGAACTAAATGTAAATCTGCAGAGTCATTAGGTTTACTTCGCTGCAGGCAAAATCAGCCATCCCTTTGCTGTCATTCTAATTCCGGTCTATCCGATGCTAGATCGATATGTTTCCCTCCAGACCAGATGTGTTCAAGATGATCCAGACTTCCCTATACGGCCTATTAAATAATGCGCATTTTTTGCTGCATTTCATTTAAACCTATTTCCTCGAATTTCATTAGAGATAGATTTGCCATTCAATTAATTCACTTCTCACTTCGTGACAAGGCAAAAATACATAAAAACTCAAAACATCTTCATTAAAAAATGTAAAATACAGGAAAACATAAAACACCAAATACAGTTTATATATATATATACAGGGTAATCAGCGAATAAGCCTTGATTTCAAAATTAAATATTTTTACATCAAAGATCGATAGAATTATGCGGTAAACTGTACGTTTATTAGCAAAGCTGTAAAAATGGTGTACAAAAGTTTAGAAAATTTAGTTACAAAAATCGTTAACAGATGGCGCTCTAATCGCAATGACCTATCAATAGCCTTTAAAAATGTGCTTTGAATTCGAAAGTGATCAGTACGACTGTTGGGTAGTGAAAAAAGGCTAGTGTAGAAAGTGAAATAATGTATTCCATTGAACAACGTTTTTTTTGGTTCTAGAATTTCACCGATTAGAACACAGTCCTACGGCAACACGTCGCAGTTTTCAAAACCGATTCAATGTTCCAGTTGGACCCGATGCGAAAACCATTCGCATGCTCTTCGCGAAATTGGAACGAACTGGCAACGTGGCTGATGATCGAAAGGAAAATGTTGGGCCTAGGAAAACTGTAGTCACTCCTGAAAATGCAGCCAACGTTTCTGGAATTGTTCAGCAAAATCCTAGAAAAAGCATCCGACGGATGGCATCAAAGACAGGTTTGAAATACACGAGCACGCAAAAAATATTAAAAAATAGCCTACGGCTGTTTCCATACAAAATCCAAAGTCATCAGGCCATACCCATGAAAGCTGTGCAACAAAGGGTTGACTTTACGAATCAGATTCTAACAATGGTCGACAACCAGAGATTTTATGTGAGTTGCATCTGGTTCACAGATGAGGCACATTTTCATTTGAATGCAATCGTTAATAAACAGAACTGGAGATTTTGAGGTACCGAAAACCCTCATTTGTATGAACAGAAAGCACTGCATTCGCCTAAAGTTACTGCATGGGCTGCGGTACGTGCCAGAGGCATTATCGGACCGTTTTTCGTACGAGAAACGATAACTACTGAACGTTACGTTACAATTTTGGAACAATTTATCAGCACTCAACTAGCGTTAGAGGATCGACCAGGTATCGACTGGTTCCTGCAAGATGGGGCTCGACCACATCGAACAGATAAAGTTTTCGCTTTCTTCATGAATACTTTGGAAATAGAGTAATTGCGTTAGATTATTCGCAATTTACTGACACAGGAATAGCTTGGCCTCCATATTCTCCCGATCTGAGTCCTTGTGACTTGTAAAAATTACAAAGTCACAAGTGGCATTGTGGGGCGCATTGAAGATAGTGTCTATCGAAACAATTCCCGCTACTCTAGAATGAGCTTGAATCGTTGATTGGTGTTGCATGTGTTGCTATTTCCGTTGAGGACATTGCAAGACGTGATGTCAAATTTCATCGTTCGTTTACGCCACCTCATTGTTTCGAACGGTGAACATTTTGAAAAAAATAGTATTTTGATTGCAAAGGCTGCTTCACTTTATTGTTTTTTTTTTTTTTTTTTGTTTTTTTTTTTTTTTTTTTTTTTTTTTTTTTTTTTACTCCTTTCAGGGAAAGAAATTTTAGCGCAGAGCGCCATCTGCTAATGATTTTCGTAACTAAATTTTGTAAACTTTTGTATACCATTTTTTACAGTTTTGCTAATGAACGTATAGTTTAGTTTACCGCATAATTCTATCGATCTTTGTTATAGAGATGTTTTAATTTTGAAATCAGGGCTTATTCGCTGATCACCCTGTATATATATATACATATATATATATAATATATATTACAATTAAAATTACAGTTTATAAGCAAAAGCAAACGATTCGGCTAACGGCATGAAGATAGACTTTTCAGTGAATTTTATTTTCACTCTCACTCAACAAAAAGATACTGAAGGTGCAGAAACTGACTTAATTAACTATTCTTCTAAGTTTCAAATGTAAGCAAATATAGCTGCTAAGTTAGGCTTAGCCGCAGGTAAACAACATTTAAATTATTAATAATTCTACAACTATTGCAAGCAGATGACCTTGTAGAGACATAAGGTTAATTGGAAAAGACAGAGAGATGAAAAATAAGCAACGGCTTTCGCCGGGCATCGAACCACGGATCTTTGGAATACCAGCCCAGCGTCCAGAACCACTACACCACGAAGGCACGCTATGAAAGAGGGAGAAATACCTTATATACTCCCCTTTCTAAAGGATGACTGAATTTTTTTGGAGGGGACCCAATTGCAAAATCCTGGGTGTGGAGAACCCTCATTCAACAAACTTCTTAGTTCGGGCGCCACTGTAGAGATATTAGGTTATTTGGAAAAGCCAGGGAGATGAAAAATTAGCAACCGCCTTCGCCGGGAATCGAACCACGGGCTTCTAGAATACCGGCCCAGCGTGCAGAACCACTACACCACGAAAGCACGCTATGAAAGCGGGAGGAATACCTTATAACTTAAAGGCATAGTACCTTTATGCCTCAGGCCTATAGGCCCATGCATATAAACCTTAACCGGAAGATAAGAACAACATACTTCAATCATTTTAAAGCAAAAAATGCAGTGTACCGGCCTACATGACTAAAAAAAACCGAGCTCTCCGAGCAGAGTAACAGAGGGGGTGTATATACATGTAAGATAAAAATGTATGAATCAGAATTATAATATAACTATAAACATTACCTTATAACTTAATTTCGCTGGCTTGCTTTCCTTCTCAATTATATCAAAAATGTAATGTTCTTGAATAGGCA